GTAGACTGCTTTTTCAATGCTGCTAGGGGGTGTACAAATTGAGCAATCTTTCTGATGCACTTTGTCTAGGTAATTTCACTTCTAGGGAATAATTCAAAGAAATAATTAGAAATATCCACAGTGATTTTTATATAAATATGCTAACTTGATCAACACCTTGAAACAACATACTGGTATACCAATATGTAAATGGTTTACATATGTAAAACTGGAGCATAATATATACTTAATGTCTGTTGTACAAAATTATTTAATGATGTAATATAATGTAAAGGCTTTGCAGTCAGATTAAATAAATATAGACTCTGCCAATTATTTGATATGACTATGTAAGAGGAGCCAAAGTTTCCCTATATGTAAAACAGAAATGGTAATAATAATATATTTGATCAGGGCTGTTAACAGGACTAAATAAAATTAAAATACAGTAAAAATTTTAACAAATAGAATAAGGTCTAAAAATAAATAATAAAGAGCATAGCACATTGCCTGGCATATAGTAAGCACTCAGCAAATATTATCTTGATGAATAAAAGTATAAAACCCCTTAACACCATATATTCAAATAATCCTAATTTGCTAAGGAAAAAATTCACCAGTGTAATTTTAATAGTAGTCAACTGTAGATGATTAGTTTACATGAGATTTTTATTTTCTTTTTTATGAATTTCCACAGTTTCCAAATTTTCAACCTTCAACATGACTTACATTTGTAACTTTAATATATTCTCTAAAATCAGCACATGCTAATTTGACAGTTGATGATAGTGACTGTGGAAATGGTTTTAAAAGTTTTCCTTTAGACTGAACCATTACAGTTACTTGTTCTTTATTAAAGACACATATGTGCATAACCATAAAATAGCTAGACTAAATTTTTGGATTCAGGATCTATGATCTCTAAGCCAAAACCAAAAAAGATACTTTTTCAAAAAAATGTAATGGACAGGGAGAGTTAGTACACATGATTTTGAGCTTCTGTTTTTCAATAGAAATTTTACAGTGCTCATCATATACAATATTAAAAGCTGTATTTGATGACCAAGGTTTTGGAGAAAATTAAGTATCTTGGAAATCATGTATTTAGCTGTGTATTTTAAACCAAAATTATTACTCTTATTTGTCTAAAGACTCACTTTTATTACGTGAACTTCAGCTCTTATGAAAAATATTTCTGATCAAAAAATTATGGTACATATACACAATGGAATACTACTCAGCAGAAAGAAAAAAAGAAGTACTAAACTTTGCGACAGCATGGATGGAACTGGAGAGCATCATGCTAAGCGAAATAAGCCAGGGGGCGAAAGACAAATACCATATGATCTCACCTATAAGCGGAACCTAACCAACAATGCAAAGAAGCAAGGAAAATATGACCAGCAACACTGAAAGGAAAAGAAATCAACAGAGACAAGAGGGAAGGAGGGGGCAGGGAAAGGGAAGGGAAGGGGAAAGTCAAGGAACATATAGCAAGGACTCATGGACAAAACCAAAGGGGAAGAGCTGAGGGAGGGAAGGTGGGAGGGGGCAAGGGAAAGAGGTGGGGGGAAGGCAGAGACAAATGTATTTAAAAAGTAAATAAATTAATAAAAAAAAATGGATACAAACATTAAAAAAAAATATTTCTGAGCTTCTAGCAGAGTTTTAAATGAGTACTTGTTTCTTAAGTGTCTAGCACATTTAAAGTTTTCAGTAATACTAGAATATAAGATTCATTAAAGTGCTCAGTATTCTCTATCAACTAATTAGATTATAGTTTCTTTATTTAATACCCTCCTATGTTAGGAACATACTTCATATGCACACAGTGAGACAATGGCTTCTCTCAACTACAGCCACCAAGGAATTTGTAACTTCATTTCTGCAGTCTCAGAAACAGGCTAAATGATCAAAGAAACACAAAACTGGTGAAGATTTCAAAGGCCTATTTTCCTTTCTAGTGTCCAGGAAATTTTTTAATGAAATACTTTGAGCACACAAATAGACAAAGAAATTAGAGAGTAACAACTTCCATGTTTTTATCCTATCTTATATTATAATATGTAATGATAATAGATCCTTGTAATCCCAATAGAGATCTCAAATGACGAGATTTTAAAATTACATTCACAATCATTGCTGCTAACAATGGGGAATTATTTATTGTTGTTATCTAGTGCAAATAGATCCAGAACTAAACTGGCCAAGAACCAGTAAAAAAAAAATTAAAAATATGAAATTAGGAAAAAAAACATGGTAGCAAAGATAAAATTCTATTGCTGCTTTAGAATGACTCTAGAGACCAACCTAAAATGTGGCTGGTCTTAATTCATAAAGTACATTTCTGTGGTAATACAATTGAAATGGCTTTGTGAATGTACTCTGGAATCTTGATGGAACCTTCAAATTATTATAGGCTAATAGTTAAAGAGTTAAGAAAGATGACTTTCATAAATATAAAATGAGCATATATCAGACTTTATTCAACTCACTAATTAAGAGAATCAGTGAAATAGTAAATGTAGCTCAAAGAACATTTTAGGAATATGCATTTAAAGGCAAGTTAATAAAGTAATATTAGAACAACATTGCAAGTTTGATGCAAAACTCGTTAATATTCTCCAGAGATATAAACTATGGCCTATGAGATTATCTTTTCCAACAGAAGAAAAGTACCCAAATTTTTTCAGAACAAAAATCTACAAATTAACATGCAGCTTCAATATATGCAGGACTTTTAATCAATTTTAAGTAGTGGATCAATTAAACTACATTTCCCTAAATTATCCTTGTGTGGGCCTGTTAAGTAATGTACCTATATGGCATTGAAAGGAAATGTTGCCCTCCTTTTATTCATATTTACGAGCTTTAAATAATTTTGCTTAACACATGGCACAACATGATATATACAACACTTGCCCAGGGTGCTTATAGTAGCACTCAATTTTTATTGATGGGAAGAGTCAATATGATAGATATCAGTTTTCCATAAACTAATCTTAAAAATCAGTATAATTTACTAAAACACCAACAGGTGTTTTATAAAACTTGGCAATTAAATCCAAAACTAATTATGAAAACAAGTTCAAAAATAGCTCAGAAAATTTTGAAGACCATGAACTAGGTAAAGGAAATTGCCCTATGAAGTGTCAAAACTAATTATGAAGCAATATAGTATGCAGAGATAGACATTCAGGCAAGTAGAGATTAATAGAGAACCCAAAACATGTTATTGCACACTTGAAAACCATTACAAATCAGTGGAGTAAGAAGTGGACTCTTTATTAAGTGGTGTTAAATCAATTATTTATACACATGGGAAAAATGAAAATATATTACTAATACATTATAATAAAAATAATTTCTAGATGGATAACTACCTAAATGCAGAAAAACAAAATGTTGAAACCTTTAAAAGAAAATAAAGAATAATTTTGTAATCTTGAGACAGGAAGGGATTTCTTAAAGTACAAAAACAACCTAATAGAAAGCTAAAATTATACATGAGATTCTATATATTTAAAAATATTTTCCTCAAAACCACAAAACAAAAAATATGTTTTCTAAAGAAATGTGAAAAGACATTGTGCTATAGATGCAGGTAAAAGTATTTGAGACAATGTTAATATACAGGATAGATGAAAACATATAAATTAGTAAGAAAAAAAACAATCCAACATCAATAAAAGTGGGTAAAAGCCATGATCTCACAATGTGCAAAAGTGAACAGTTGACTCTTAAGTATATGAAAAAAACATTCAGCAACACCAGTAGTTAGGGAAATGCAATTGAAATCACAATGTGATATCTTTTTACATTGACAAGATCCGTAGTGTGAAGAGTCTGAATATACCAAGCATCAGTGAAGGTGTAGAGAGTCAGCATTTGGAACTGAAATTTGTCAGTTTGTTCAAATTGAAAATGCCTCTGATCTTTGACTCAGGAATCCTATTTCTAGGTATATAACCTGGAGACACTCACACATGTGTGTAAAGAGACATGTATGAAATTGGTTATTACAATAGTATTCATTATAGCTAAAACAAAATAATACAATTGTCCATCTGCAAAAACTGGATGAATATATTTTGGTGTATTTATAAAAATTATATGGTTGTTAAAATGAAGTAGCTAAAATTGTATTTATAACCACAGGTAAATCTTATATATAACATTGAGTGAAGCAAACTAAATTGCATAAAAACAGGTTTACTGTGAAGTTCGGAAACTGTAAATGTTATGCCTATTCATGCATGCATGTTATTTCTATTTCAAAACAGCAATAGAAGGCTAACCATCAAAATGAGCATGATGGTTACCTCTGTGGAAGCAGTGAATGGAATAGAATTAGAGACAAATAATAAAGGGATTTCAGCTTTTCTTTAATAAGTTTATTGTTATTATCTAATAATAGTATCTGTGTTTATTATCTAATCCCTTCTTTATTTCTTCCTGATTGAAATACTTCATTTTGAGGATTTAAAAAAAACACATATAAAACATGTATATAAATTTAGCAGCTTTATATACTCAACAATACTAATACTGTATATTGCTCCTAAACATAAATATTTATACACATGCACACATATACATCTTTATGTGTATATATATGAAATTTATGTATGTGAAGGGATTCTTGTTCTTCTGTGGAGAGGAGAGGTTGGACTAGGTATGAAGCCCAAAGGGTATTATATTAGGTATATCTGTGATGTTCTGAGTACTTTTTAAGTACCAAACAAATGCAAATATGTCATACATTAACAGCAATTCTTTGTGATAGTAATATGGATGTTGGGTAAACTGAATTTCTTTATTGATTATTTCTATTCTTCAGAATAATCTTGTAAAAACATTAAACATTTGACTAAGATCTGGAGCTGCTATGTAAAAGACATATAAATTTTGTATCTATAAGAGTATCTTAAAAATCAAGTATTTTGTAAACTCATTTATGATGAATGGTAATGTATCAACAGAAAAATTAATTGTGGGTAATTTTTTCTCTCTTCCCATAGAATACAAGTCAATGACCAGATTGTGGAAGTGGATGGAATCAGCTTGGTGGGTGTCACACAAAATTTTGCAGCGACAGTTCTCAGGAACACCAAGGGCAATGTCAGGTAAACATGTGGCTTCAGATATGTATAATTTGGTTCCTTGATATTTTTTAAATTTAAGTTTTCTCTGATTATACATATATATATATATATATATATGTAATTACAGTGAGAATTCTAAGTGTGAAAATACTTGCCATTAGCTTTTAAATTTTCTTTATTGCAATTAGTTTATTTGAATGTAATTTAAAACTAAAAATTACAGTATTCCATAAAGACATGAAGATATGGAGTGTACCATGTGAATCAATATGGTCAATTATTGCCCTGACTGGTATAGCTCAGTTGGTTGGACGTTGTCCTGCAAACCGAAGGGTTGCCGGTTTAATTTCCATCAGGGCACGTGCCTGGGTTGCAGATTTGGTTCCAGGTTGGGTCACATATGACAGGCCACCAATTGATGTTTCTCTCTCACATTGATGTTTTTTCTCCCTCTCTTTCTCCCTCCCTTACCCTCTCTCTAAAAATAAATAAATAAAATCTTTAAAAAATATATGGTTAATTATTGAGCTATGGTAGCGTGCCTTATTGCCGATATAATACCAGTTGCTAGGAAGATAGGATGTCTAGTTACATCCTTAGTAAAGGTTACTTTAAGCCTCGAATCCTTTTAATAAAACCAGTTACACAGTAAATTGAAATTGAAATCATAATGATTATGCATATATACAATAATACATGTTGTTTAGACAAACAGGCTGAATGATTTGAGGTTAATAAGCTCATTTTTTAAATCTTTTTATTTCTTTAAAGAAACAGGCAAGAATAATTTTTGGTAAACTATAACTTTTCCAACTTTAATGGAACAGAGGGTATATTCCTTTGGACCTTTAAATTTATATCCAATCTTGGGGTTCTGAGAATTATAGTTTGGAAAACAAATGAGCCAACTAAGGTCAAAATTTGAAATTTGTTTTATTTAGTCATAGAGTTCTAATTTTTTAATATGTTGCTTATGTCTTATACTTCCCCAAAAATCCTATGAAGGAATATATAAGGGTACATTGCTTAGTATGTGTAATTTTGAAAGTGTCCTACCATTATCATCAAAATAAAATTGCCAAATATTTTGAAAACATGAATGAGTTAAATGGTCTAAAGAGGGTAAAATTATTATTTCACTGCAGCATATTTTATGTTGCACAAGCATGAGTTTAAGTTTTAGAATTTAGACTTTTTCCGTTGGAAAGCACCCATTAATGCTGAAGAGGATGTTTAAGAAATACAGCCTCAGTGACTTTTATGGGTGCAATGTTCATGCTTCAAGAATACTCAGTCCAGAGAAAGCACGGGAAGCACGGGAAAGAGTACAGGACCAGCCGTGCTGTCCTGTCAGTAAGCGAGATTGTCTTTCTGCAGATTGCTCTGTTGCTGAGAAGGCACTTTCCTGTGTCAGCATAGAACTTGGTTTTGAGCTGCCCATTCGGCATTAAAGTGAATTTAAAAGTGAGCTAAGATACACATTCAACTTATAAAATCATTTGTCAGTTAGAAAAATGTTTGTAGTTACGTGGAATCTTTCCTTTCTCTTCACAATTTTGTGCTGTTGCCATTTCAAACCCTGTACAACCTGCCTCAGTCTTCTCAACTGGTCTCCCTGATTTCATTCAGTCTCTTCCTTTTTGAAAGTGTCCTTCTCATCCTTACCCAAATGGAGGAACATGATAGCAGTATTCAGATACATGAAGGGCTATGGGGAAAAGCAGTTGACTTGTTTCATGTAACTGTAGAAGCATAACTAAGGTCTGTGAGTAGAAGTAGTGATTCTGCAATCACCGTGTCCCTCTCCTCTTCAGAAAGCTTCAGCGGCCTTCCACTCCGGGCAGAAGCTAAGCTCTTTATCCTGCTCTTAAAAGTCTTTCATCACCAGATCCTACCACTTACCTCTTCCGATGGTGCTGGTCTGGTGCAGTCATACCAGATCAGGAAGTTATCATCCCTCAGAAGTGATTTGTGAATTGTTTTCGTGTCTTTCTCTGCCATTTTTTTTCCATTGAAAATACTGTTTAGAACCTACTTATCTTGAGGAACATAATGCAAATTCTTTCCCCTCTAAGAAGCACTCCTTGACTTCACTGTCCCCTAGTTGTCACTTCTTCCTGATACAGTAACCACTTATTTCGCTTCTTTGCCCTGGAAGTTACAGAACATTCTGTTTTTATCTTTTAAAGGTATACATCTTATTTTCCAATTAACTTTGCAAAAATCTTGATATCAAAATGGGACCTTTAACCTCCTTTTTTCCCCTAAATTATTTAACCCTGGGTCTTCATCAACTAAAATTAGCAAACCATGATCTTAATTGAATGAAAGGAAAAAAGTCTTTTCACAGTTTTAACTTATTAAAAACAATATTTGAATCCCCTGAATATATTTTATATGGTAGTCTTTCATAAGGTATTAATATAAAAACAGGATTCAAAAACCAAACCTGTAGTTTTAATGAACTATTTTAAAATGAGTATGTAAAATATATATGATTCTGTATTTCTTATTTATTGGTAACTTAGCTGCCACATTCAGTGGTTATTAAATTTATTTTTTGAAAGAGCATTTAAGAATTACTAAATTTAGTTTATATTTTTCTAACTGCTAAGTACAGATCTGAGAAGAATTTGTTGGAACTCATGGCTTTGAAGAGCCAGGAAAGGGAAACATATAAGCTAGTGGTGATGAGAAAATTGAAACTGAGATATGGATAATGATTAATTTTTAAGTATTGGAGATCAAGATTCTGATTTATTTACTGAAAGGTATATGAAATTGGTGCCAGCATTTTCATGTGAATCAAATTAACACAATGAAGTCATGTGACTTCATCCACACTTAGAACCATTTTTTATCTGACCTCTTAGTCTGTTTATTTTATTAATCTTTGAATTGCTATAGCTGAGTTTGTGAACTAATAGTACTAATGAAGACCCCATTAATTGCCATTTTAACACACTAGAGACATCATAATATAAGTCTTTTGATATGTTTACTTCCAAGGGTATATATGTTTTTCAACTCTGAGTCATTTATATGAGTAAAGCATTTAGGCCACTTTAAAGAAGTGGTTCAGCTCAAACCACTTCTAGGTTCCTGGGTATGGAAAGCCCAAGCCTGGCTCAGGGTATTGTTAAATGATTATTATTTCATCTATTTTACTGACATCACAAACTGCATACCAACAATGAGTACTGTGCTCATATCATGGTAATTACTTTAAGTGATTGATTAGGGAAAGGACTCACAGGGCTCAGTTTATATTTAGAAATGAGGCAACACAGCAAAGTGAGAGAAAGCCAAGGATTGAAGGGTGGTTGTAGAGGACTCAGACATAGTCTTCTTTATCATCCTTCCACTGGGTCTCCCAGAACGTGTTCATCTCCAGATTTTAAACCACTGTGACCTGTCCATGAAGCACCTTGGCAGTAAGAAGCCCGGAGTTGGTGTGTGGTAGGGGTATCTCATAGTGAGCTGGTCATGTAGGTTCATTCTTACTACATGACAGCTCAACCATTGAAAACCCTCAGACTCCACCAAATCCAGGGACAGGTAATAAATCCAATTATTATTACCAAGCAATTCTGATAGGCTGGTATGTCTTGCCTTGAAACAACTCATGAACCCATGTTTGCAAAACATTGTTTACCCCTGGATACTACATTTCATAGCTATGACAGGGGTCAGTGCTCTGCTCTAGGCCACTCTGGAGATAAGCACTTGGTTGGTCCAGGTGACCTTAGATGAACCCATGCTGCGTCATACATATTGCATAACACATTTACTTTAGACTCCTTTGGCTTTTGACTTCAGGTTTATACTATTTAGTATGTCTTTATTATATATTTCAATGTTACCTAAAAACTAAACCTAACAAGAAAATGTTATAACAGTTATTTAAAAACCTATAATCTTTTTGGTGGTTGATAAAATGTAATTTGCCAAATGTAATATAGTTAAAAAGTTAGAACAGCCCTGTCTGGGTTGATTTAATGTTTAAATTAAACCTATGGAATTTTCCATACTAATAGAATAATGGCAAAAAAATCATATGCTCATACGTTCATCTCAGCAGAAGTGATGTTTAAAAAACTTCTCAGGCCCTGTGGCTTAGTTGGTTGGGCGTGGTCCCCCAAAGTGAAAGGCTGTCAGTTTGATACCTGGTCAGGGCTCTTGCCTAAGTTTCAGGTCTAGTCCCCAGTTGGGGTGTGTTATGAGAGGCATCCATTTGATGTTCTCTCTTACATCAATGTTTCTTTCTCTCTTCCTCCCTCCTTTTCCCTCTCTCAATAAATAAATAAATAAATAATTTTTTTAAGCTCTCAGGCAACTTGAAATATGAGGGAATTTCCTCAATGTGATACTTATTAAGTGAAACCTACAGCAATTATACTTAAGATGAAAGACCAAATGATTTCTCCTTAGTATAAGGTCAATGCAACTATGTTCATTTTCACCACTTCTATTCAGCATTGCACTAGAGATCAAGCTAGTTCTGAAGTAAGAATAAGAAATGGAAAACACATAGATCGAAATGGAAGAAGTAAAACTTTATTCACAGACAACATGGCCAGCTATGTAGAAAGTTCTAAGGAATCTACAGAGGTTGCTACTAGAACCAATAAGTGAGTCAAGTAAGGTTACAGGACATACATTGATGTATCGAAATCAATTCTATTTCTTCATACCAGCAGCAACAAAGAATTAAAAATTCAAATTTAATAGCGTTCATGATTAACATTAAAAACATGAAATATTTAAGAGTAATCTGACAATATATTGAATATTGTGGCAAAATTCTTTTGAGAGAAAATAAAGACAGCTTAAATGAGTGAAGAAATAGACCATGTTTATGGACCAGAATACTCAATATTGTTAAGATTTCAATTCCCCTCCTCCCGCCAAATCTACAGATTAAGCACAGTCTCAATGAAAATCTCAGAAAGTTTTTTTCTTTTTGTACAAATTAACATCTTTTTAGAAAAGAACAAAGTTGTGGATTTTCACTTCTGAAA